TATTGAGATATATTCCATCTATCCCTACTTTATTGATGATTTTTATCAAGAATGATACTGTATTTTGTCAAATGGTCTTTCTACATCTATTGACAGGATCATATGGTTCTTATCTTTTCTTTTATTAATGTGCTATATCGTGTTGATTGAGTTGCAAATACTGAACCACCCCTGCAGCCCAGGAATAAATCCCATTTGATCATAGTGAATAATTCTTTTAATGTACTGTTGAATTCTATTTGCTAGTATCTTTTTGAGAATTTCTGCATCCAGGTTCATCGAGGATATTGACTCCTAATTCTCCTTTTTAGTGGGATCTTTGTATGGTTTAAATCAGTTTGCTCTTCAACTAGCTCCAGTCTGGAGTTTATCCCTCCTATGGTAAATCTTTAAATTTTTTAACTTTTTATTTAAATTCTAGTTAGTTAACATATAGTGTAATATTGGTTTCATAAAACTGTGTCATCTTCGACATGATACTCTACATAGAAAACCCGACAGACTCCACCAGAGGCCTACTAGAACTGATCCAAGAATTCAGCAAAGTTGCAGGGTACAAAATCAACGTACAGAAATCGGTTGCATTTTTATACACCAACAATGAAGCAACAGAAAGAGAAATCAAGAAGCTGATCCCATTCACAATTGCACAAAAAAACCATAAAATACCTAGGAATAAACCTAACCAAGGATACAAGAGATCTGTATGATGAAAACTATAGAAAACTTATGAAGGAAATTGAAGAAGTCACAAAGAAATGGAACAACATTCTATGCTCATGGATTGGAAGGACAAATATTGTTAAAATATTTATACTACCCAAAGCCATCTACACATTTAAGGCAATCGCTATCAAAATACCAACACCATCTTTCACAGACAGTTCTAAAATTTGTATGGAATTACAAAAGTCTTCACATAGCCAAATCAAGCTTGAAATGAAAAGCAAAGGTGGAGGTATCATGATTCCAGATTTCAAGTTATATTATAAAGCTGTAATAATGAAAACAGCATGGAACTGTAACAAAATAGGTATGTAGATCAAGAGAATAGAATAAAAAAACCAGAAATGAACCCACAATTCTACGATCAATTCATCTTTGACAAGGCAGGAAAGAATATCAAATGGGATAAAAAAAACAATATTTTCAACTAATAGTTTTGGGGAAACTGGACAACCACGTGTAAGAATGAAAGTGGACCACTTTCTTATACCATACACAAAAATAAATTCAAATAGATTAAGACCTAAATGTGAGACAGGAAACCATCAAAATCATAGAGAAGAACACAGGCAGTAACCTCTTTGACATTGACCACAACAACTTCTTTCTAAATATGTCTCCTGAGTCAAGGGGGGTGGAAAGCAAAAATATATTATTGGGACTTCATCCCAATAGCAAAGGAAACAATCAACAAAACTAAAAAGCAACCTATAGAATGGGAGATAATATTTGCAAGTGACATATCTGATCAAGGGCTACTATCAAAAATACATGTAAAAGCTAGTACAACCAAACACCCAAAAAACATAATTCAATTAAAAATAAGTCAGGCAGAGAAGGACAAATACCATATGTTTGCACGTATAGGAGGATTAGGAGGAACTTGACGGAGGAACAAGGGGGAGAAGAAGGGCGGAAATGGTGGGGGAAAGGGAGAGAGGCAAACCATGAGAGACTCTTGAATGCTGACAAAAACTGAGGACTGATGGATGTGGGGGGGAGGGGGGGATGGGCATGGAGGAGGGCACTTTGGGGATGAGCACTGAGTGTTATGTAGAAACTAATTTGACAATAAACTATTTGTAAAAAAAAAAAAAATGGGCAGAAAAAATAAATAGACATTTCTCCAAAGAAGATATCCATATGGCCAGCAGACACTTGAAAAGATGCTCAACATCTCTCATCATCAGGGAAATGTAAATTAAAACTGCAATGAGATATCATCTCACACCTGTCACACTAGTGGCTAAAGGCAACAACAGAAGAACCAACATATGTTGGTGAGGATGCGGAGAAAGGAGAACCCTCCTCTGCTGTTGGTGGGAATGCAACTTGGTGCAGCCACTCTGGAAAACATTAAGGAGGTTCCTGAAAAAGTTAAAAATAGAACTACCTTATGATCCAACAATTACACTACTAGGTATTTAACCAAGGAATACAAGAATGCTACTTCAAAGAGATACATCTACCTCTATGTTTATAGTAGCATTATTTAGAATATCCAAGAGAGAGAAACAGCCTATGTCCATCGACTGTGAAATGCATAAAAAATATGCAATAGAATATTATTCATCCTTAAAAACGAATGAAATCTGGGGTGCCTGAGTGGCTCAGTCGGTTAAGCATCCGACTTTGGTTCAGGTCATGAGCTCACAGTTTGTGGGTTTGAGCACTGTGTCAGGCTCTGTGCTGACAGCCAGCTCAGAGCCTGAAGCCTGTTTCAGATTCTGTGTCTCCCTCTCTCTCTGACCCTACTCCCCTCCCCTGCTCACACTCTCTCTCTCTCTCTCTCTCTCAGAAATAAATAAAACATTTTTTAAAAAAGGAATGAAATCTTTACATTTGCAATGACATGGACGGAGCTAGACAGCATAATGCTAAGTGAAATAATTGGAGAAAGACAATACTGTATGTTTCACTCATGTGTGGAATTTAAGAAATAAAACAAATGAGACAGGGGGAAAAATAAGAGAGAGACAGAGAGAGAGAGACAGAGAGAGAGAGAGAGAACCAGACTCTTAATGACAGAGAACAAACTGATGGTTACCAGAGAAGAGGTGGGGCGGACAGGTTAAATAAGTGATGGGTATTAAGAAGTGCACTTGTTATGATGAACACAGAATGATGTATGGAAATGTTGAAGCACTATATTGTATGCCTGAAGCTAATATAACACTATGTCAACCAAGCATAATTAAAATTAAAACTTAAAAAAATATTTTAAGGTCATATCTACAGTATTTGCTTTTCTCAAATGTAGGATTATTCTGATTATAATCACACTTCAGTTCTTTCTATTTATTTTTTATTTTTTTAATTTTTTAAATATTTTTTATTTATTTCTAGGAGAGAGAGAGAGAGAGAGAGAGAGAGAGACAGCGTGAGCAGGGGAGGGTCAGAGAGAGAGGGAGTCACAGACTGAAACAGGCTCCAGGATCTGAGCTGGCAGTCAGCACACAGGCCGACGCGGGGCTCGAACCCACGAACCGCAAGATCATGACCCAAGCGAAAGCCGGACGCTTAACCGACTAAGCTACCCAGGCGCCCCCAGTTCTTTCTATTTAAACCAAATGCTGAGAATGAGTGATTTGACCAAAATTTTATCTTATTATTTTGTTAGTTGTTTTCTTGAGTGGAAATATAGGTAAAGCAAAGATAATAGAAAAGTCCTCTAGGTCCCATCTAACTCTTCCCATGTTTCTTCCTGTTAAAGAACTTACCACATTTTTACCCGTATCCTGTATACAGATACAGGAGAGCTCAAGAACAACATTCCTTCGACCATGAGATGCCCTTCTTCTCAGTTCTTTTCACTTTTCAGTACTTTCTACTGGGTCAGGGTTGAAATATAGGACACAGTAAAACTCACGGGAGCAGAAAATTCTATTGGGGCACATAACTCTAAGAAGTTTCCTCAGACTATCTTTGAGTTCAGGACAGAGATAGGAATCTGAGAGTAATCTTAGTGGACCTCATGGAAATTTTGGGCACATATCAGAGCCCTTCTTTTACTGTCAGGCATTCTGCTCTGCATATCTTCCTCCTTTCTTCTTTGTCCTGTCCACTGCTTAGTTCTGTCTTCTGGGACAACTATAAAGCCCATCCATGAGTGTACCTCCAGCTTCTATCCAACTTTCACTTTATCTTTTTCCCACTCAAAGCTCAAATATTCTGTGTGAAACAGAGCAGCCAAGTGGCTTTAATTGAGGAGCGCATGTCCCTTCCACACCTATCCCCATCAGATGGCTCTCTTCATTGACAAGCCCTGCATGGACCTGTGGGCATTTGTGTTTGCAACCCCTGCATTAAACTTGTCTTGGATATCTTTGGGAAAGACATGCAACAAAGCCTTCTCAGTATTCACATTGTATTTTGCCTGCATGTACATGAACATATTTAGCAGATTTGACTTTAACTTACCATCACTCCTTCATCTCCATATGCCACAGTTTAGGTTTCCTGGAATCAGACAGAGACAGATTTTGCGTGCAGAAGGTTTATTGGAGAGTGCTGTAAGGATTGAATTAATACTGGGGGAAAGGACTTACATTTTACTTTAAGAAAGTAAAATTGGGGGGCGCCTGGGTGGCTTAGTCGGTTAAGCGTCCGACTTTCGCTTAGGTCATGATCTCGCGGTTCGTGGGTTCGAGCCCCGCGTCGGGCTCTGTGCTGACTGCCAGCTCAGAGCCTGGAGCCTGTTTCAGTCTGTGACTCCCTCTCTCTCTGACCCTCCCCTGCTCATGCTGTCTCTCTCTCTCTCCTAGAAATAAATAAATAAATAAAATTTTAAAAAAAGAAAGTAAAATTGGATACAGGGAGAAGTAGCCTGTGTTGCTTCAGCTCTTACAGGGAGCTCTGGAGCTGGGGTGGCCTTTCAGAGTCAAACTAAGGCAAGAGAGACCAAGTCTTTATATCCTACATTGACCAGTCATGGGATTCAGGCAGCCATCCAAAGAGAAGAACATTGATCAACGTTTTCCTCAGCTGTTGGCAATTCCTGATGAGGAAAACAGCTGAAACCTGTTACCTGATGACTCCGAGATATAGGCTTTGTGTCTTCTACTTTGTAACCACATTAGCCCAGGCTTCCTTTCACACTATCCACACTCAGTATGGACATGATGAAATGAATTGATGTATTCATCTGGTCAACTCTCATAAGGGAATGACTTTTATTTTCAGTACAACACATTTGTTTCTCTTCCAATCAAACTACAGAGGCTAATCCAAGTTCCCAGACCCCAGAACCCACATCTACAGGTGCTGGTGTTAACCTAGCCCTGCTCCCCACGACAGTGAAACCTCACCAGGAGTTTCCTGAGAGCCCCAGTCACTTCTTTGTTCCTCAGGCTGTAGATTAGTGGATTGAGCATAGGGGTGATCAAGGTGTAGAAGGCCGAGACCACTTTGTCCTGCTTGGAGGAGTGGTAGGCCTGGGGTCGCATGTAGGTGATCATGGCTGCCCCGTAGAAGAGGGAGACCACTGCCATATGAGAGGAGCAGGTAGCAAAGGCCTTCTGCCGACCTTCAGCAGAACGCATATGGAGCACAGTCACCAGGATACGCAGGTAGGAAGCAGAAATGACAGAGAAGGGCAGGAGCAGCATTAGGATGCAACAGACATAGATCATGGTCTCATAGAGGGAAGTGTCAGCACAGGCCAGCTTCAGTATGGCAGGAACCTCGCAGAAGAAATGGTCAATCTCTTGGGAACCACAGTAGGGGAAGCGCAGGGTGAAGATGGCCTGGATCAGTCCATCCACCAGGCCAAAGAGCCAGGACCCTGCCACCATGAGCCAGCAGACACGACGGCTCATGACCACTGAGTACCTCAGTGGGTTGCTGATGGCCACATAGCGATCATAGGCCATGAAAGCCAATAGGAAGCACTCATCCCCCAGGAGGGTGAGGAAGAAGAGGATCTGGAGTCCACAGCCTGTGAAGGAGATGGTGCCACGGCCCAGAAGAAAGTCAGTGGCCATCCGTGGCACAATGGTGGAGATGAGCATGAGGTCCATGAGTGACAGCCAGCTGAGGAAGAAGTACATGGGGCTGTGTAGGCGAGAGTCAACATTGGTGAGGAGGATCATGAGCCCATTGCCAGAGAGGGCCACCAAGAACATGACCATGATGATGGAAAAGAGGAAGAAGTGCAGTGGCAAGTGGGTGAAAAGGCCCAGGAGAATGAAGTGGGAGATGAGAGTCTGGTTTGCCTCCCAGGCCATTGTTCTGCAGAAGGATGTGCCAGACAAAGGCTTGGGATCTGGAAGCAGGAGGTGTATGTTTAGTGTCACAATACTGAGACATCTAAACTTTGCCCAATATGTCAGCTTCTTTAAATGTTACTGGGTTTAAAAATAAATAAATAAATAAATAAATAAATAAATAAATAAATAAATAAATAAAATTAAAAATAAATAAATAGGAGGAGGGACAAGATGGCGGAGAAGTAAGGAGCTCCGTATTTGCACTCGCGCCCATACCTCACATGGAAAAGATCTGAAGCCATTGGAAACCTTATGAAACCTGAGAGATTGGGAGAAAAAGGACGCAGAATCCACTGAGAAAGCCTTCTAACATGAGTGCGAACTGGGGAAGATAAAATCGGGCCAGGATCGGAGACTCCAGGATCGGAGGCGATCCCCCTCTGCGGGGAGTGAGAGGGGAAAAAGAGAAAGTTCGAAACAGAAAAACCTCCGCTCGGGGGAAAAACCTCTGCTTGGGGCATAGAAACACCTTGCGCGCCAAATACCTGCAGGCCAGGTCCCCTCGCACCAACTGGTCCAAGAGGGGCTGAGCTCACAGACTGCTTCTTTGTGCTTGCTCCTGGCTGGCTGCACTTCTAGAGTAGCGGCACGCCTGCCGCCATTGTCCTCCCAGCTGATTTGGGCCCCTGGAAGAGCCGCACGTGGACACCGGACGTCCGTGCTTTGGCAGGCTGGAATTCTAGAGGAAAGGCAAAGAGCTAAAAACTGGGAGATTTGCCTGTGAGTTCGTGTTTCAAGTGATGAGACACAGAGGGACCTGGTTTTCCTCACTCCATCAGGCTCCGAGCACCCGGCAGGCAAGCCCCCGCCCATGCTCCCCAGCCCGGCCCAGAGAAGGAAACAGCAATTCTGGCTCCAACCCCAGAGCTACGCAGGAGGCCTAGAACTGCCCCAAGGGGATTGCCTGGGAAGTTGTGTCTAAGGCATTTTCAGCACTGCTCGCGGGCTGGGATTTGGAGACTGGGACTGGCCTGGGTTAAAGAGCGCAACCAACTTTGGCTGCGACCCCAGTACGGGGAGTTTACATGCCCAAAAAAGCGAGGTGCAGTGCTTGGTTCAAGAAGGGACTCGAACGCAGCCACTCTGCTCCCTACAACTGCCAATGCAGAACTCGTGCCTAACGCATTGGATCAAACCACGCCCATCCCTGTTTGAGAGCTGCCCTCCTCCATTTCTTTCTTTTTTTCTTCTCTTTTCTTTCTTTTTTCCCCAGAACACTGACCTGATTAACTCCGGTCACCGGCTTGCTTACACAATCACAACTAGTCCATTCTGTAGATGTAAATTCTACACCTACCGACATTTTCATCTCTTTCTCTCAGGAGTAATTAGACTATATAGTTTCTCTGGATAATACCAGCGTCCTTCTGTCACCTATCCAACCATATTCTACTCTTTAGCTCTTTGAAAAAAGCTTCTTATCCCTTCTGCCTGTTCATTCTACTTCCAATTTTGCCTCAACCCCGCCCTGTCTTCTCTCTCTTTCTCTATGCTCTTCAACCAGCACTGCATACACATGGCTATTTAACTGTAGCTGGGATCCGGTTATATGCTTTCAACCGTTCTTTGTCCATCGGTTTTCTTCTTTTTTCCTTTTTTTCTCCTTCTTGACACTTTTATGTATTTTATACTCTCTATTATTCGCCCTCCCTCCTCCGTCTTTTCTCTTAACTTTTTTGTTTTCCCTCTTGGTTTGCATGTTAATTGAATTAGTCTGTGTGTTTGTTTGCTCCTGCTCCCTGTGTGTTTGTCTGTTTTTTTTTTTTTTCCCCAGGACTACCTCAAGAAACAAGGCAGGGTACACAAGGTGGAGTGTCCCAAATATCACTACGAATAGGAAAATAATATAACCAAGGTCTCAACAAGAGAGACCAAGAGATACCATTCAAAAAACACTCTCTGAAAGGATTGAACCTGGACAGTCAAAGAGTCTTCTTGGATACAGCAGCGTTCATAGGTGCAGAGAGCACAACAGGTCTTTAAAACTAACAAGAGCCAGAAAGGTAACAAAAATGACAAAACGAAAGAGCTCACCTCCAAAGAATCTCCAAGAAGAAATGATAGCTAATGAACTGCTCAAAACAGATATAACAGCATAACTGAACAAGATTTTAGAATAATAAAGGTAAAATAAATAGCTAGGTTGAAAAAGGAATAGGGGATATCAAAGAAACTATGGCTACAGACAGAATGCAAAATAAAAATAGGCATGAAGAATTTAAAAATGCGATAAATGAGATACATAGTAAATTAGAGGCCTCCAATGCACGGATTGAAGAGGCAGAAAGGAGAATAAGTGATTTAGAAGACACCATTATAGAAAAACAAGAAGCTGACAAAAAAAGAGACAAACTGATCCAGGAACAAGAAAGAAGAATTCGAGAGCTCAGCGATACGGTCAAACGCAACAATATCAGTATCATAGGAATCCCAGAAGAGGAAGAGAGAGGGAAAGGTGCTGAAAGAGTCCTGGAACAAATAGCAGAGAACTTCCATAACCTGGGGAAGGAAGTAAATGTGGAAATAGAAGAGGCTCAGAGGACTCCCCTCAGACGTAACTTGAATCGATCTTCTGCACGACATATCATAGAAAAAATGGCAAAATACAAGAACAAAGAGAGAATTTTGAAAGCAGCTAGGGAGAAAAGGGCCCTAACAAAGGGAAACCTATCAGAGTGGTGACAGACCTATCTACTGAAACGTGGCAGACCAAAAAGGAATGGCAGGAGATCTTCAATGTGAAGAACAGTAAAAATATGCAGCCAAGAATCCTCTATCCAGCAAGCCTGTCATTCAAAATAGAAGGAGATATAAAAACCTATCCAAATAAACAGAAATAGAAAAAATTTGTCACCACTAAGCCGGCCTTACAAAAAGTCCTGAGGGGGACGCTCTGAAGGAAAGGCTGAGGGGCGCCTGGGTGGCTTAGTCGGTTAAGCGTCCGACTTTCGCTTAGATCATGATCTCGCGGTTTGTGGGTTCAGGCCCCGAGTTGGGCTCTGTGCTGACTGCCAGCTCAGAGCCTGGAGCCTGTTTCAGAGTCTGTGACTCCCTCTGTCTCTGACCCTCCCCTGCTCACTCTGTCTCTCTCTCTCTCTCCTAGAAATAAATAAAACATTAAAAAAAATTTTTGAAGGAAAGGCTGAAAGGAACAAAGATACCAGAGACACCACCATAAACATGAACCCTACAAAAGATACAAAGACTCTAAACACACATATTTCAATAATAACACTAAATGTAAATGGGCTGAATGCTCCAATCTAAAGACATAGGGTAGCAGAATGGATAAAAAAACAAAATCCATATATATGTTGTCTAAAAGAAACAAATTTTAGACTGGAAGATACCTTCAGATTAAAAGTAAGGGGATGGAGAAATATATATCATGCTACAGGAAATCAAAAGAAAGCCGGAGTAGCTATACTTCTATCAGACAAACTGGACTTTAAATTAGAGACAATAACAAGAGATGAAGAAGGGCACTACGTAATGATTACATGGTCCATCCATCAGGAAGAACTAACAATCATAAATGTCTACGCACCAAATACGGGAGCACTTAAATATCTAAAACAATCACAAACAGAAACAAGCTTATAGACAAGAATGTGCTAATAGCAGGGGACTTTAATAGTCCGCTTACAGCAATGGATAGGTCAACCAGACAGAAAATCACTAAAGAAATAATGGACTTGAAAGACACATTGGACCAGATGGATCTGACGGATATATTAGTTTACATCCTGAGGCGAGGGAATTTACTTTCTTCTCAAGTGCACATGGCACATTCTCCAAGATAGATCACATACTGGGACATAAAGCAGCCCTCAATAAATATAAAAGAACTGAGATCATACCATGTACACTGTCAGATCATAATGCTTCAAAACTTGAAATCAATCACAGGAAGAAGTCAGGAAAACCTCCACAAACATGGAGGATAAGAACACCCTACTAAAGAATGAATGAGCCAATCAGGCAATTAGAGATGAAATTTAAAAATATATGGAAACAAATGAAAATGAAAACACGACAATTCAAAATCGATGGGATGTGGCAAAGGCAATCCTAAGAGGAAAGTACATTGCTCTCCAGGCCTATTTCAAGAGATTGGAAAAAGCACAAGTCCCAAATCTAACAGCTCACCTAAAGGAACTAGAGGCAGAGCAACAAAACCGTCCTAAACCCAGTAGAAGAAGAGAAATAGTAAAAATTAGAGCAGAAATAAACAACATAGAGACCAAAGAAACAATTGAACAGATCCATGAAACCAAGAGTTGGTTTCTTGAAAAAATAAACGAAATTGACAAACCTCGAGCCAGGCTTCTCACAAAGAAAAGAGAGAGCAGCCAAATAGACAAAATTATGAATGAAAATGGACTTATTACAACCAACCCCTCAGAAATACAAGCAATTATCAGGGAATACTATGAAAAATTATATGCCAACAAATTGGACAACTTAGAAGAAATGGACAAATTCCTAAACACACACTCACTACCAAAATTCACACGAGAAGAAATAGAAAACCTGAACAGACCCATAACGAGTGAAGAAATCGAATCAGTGATCAAAAATCTCCCAACAAATAATGCCCTGGACCTGATGGCTTCCCGGGGGAATTCTACCAGACATTTAAAACAAAATTAATCCCAATTCTACTCAAGCTATTCCAAAAAATAGAAATCGAAGGAAAACTCCCAGACTCATTTTATGAAGCCAGCATCACTCTGATTCCAAGCCAGACAGAGATCCAACAAAAAAAGAGAACTACAGGCCAATATCCTTGATGAATACGGATGCAAAAATCCTCAACAAGATCCTTGAAAATTGAATCCAGCAGCACATAAAAAGAATCATCCACCAAGATCAAGTGGGATTCATTCCTGGGTTACAGGGCTGGTTCAACATTCGCAAATCAATCAATGGGATACATCACATCAACAAAAGAAAAG